GGAACGAGAAAGCGGCCTACGACAGTAAAGAAGGGAGAGTTTCGCGAGACAAAACCAATGCGCTGGATCTTCTGGATGAAAGCGCCTTGCTGTATGGACCTGGTATCGTGATTCTGTGTGAGTAAAAGAACTATCGACTTTTATTTCGAAATTTTAGTGTGCAAAAGTTTAAAGCGTTCTTCTCAAACTTGCCATTTTCGAAGTCCGTGATCACGATAACTCAAAATCTACTCGATCAATTGTTTCTGAAATTTGGCACACTGCTTCTTAACAATTTACCAGGTATTCCTGGGAGTTTTTTTTGATTGGTTAAAAATTGTTAATTTTACAAAAACAAATAACTCGATTTTTTGCACCAAAAATCAGAATTTTGGCTTCAACCTGCTACTAAAAATTAAAAAATAAAAAAAAAATTTCTCCCAGCGTTACCTCGAAAACATCTCCTTTAACGAATGCATTTTTATTTTTTGGTTTCAGATAATTCTACTACGAGTTATGATGATCACCGCCAAACCACTTTTTTTAGGAGCGCCTCCGGAAATTTCGTTGTCACTCGCGTATTTTTCGATATTTTTCGATGAAAATTTAGCAAGTTACTCTTCAAATGTTGTATTATTACATGGAAATTGAATAAATAAAGTACATTATCTGTTTCGCCAAAAAAATCGTAAAAAACATGCTTTTTTTCCACATCGAAATTAGCATACCCCTCCCCTTAATAAATATTAGTTCATCGAGGTAATTAGTTCACAGTACAGACTAATAAAATATTAAGTTAATCGAGGTTAAAAGTTAACGACACACGGTTGATAATCACGAGAATGCTTGATGAAATAACTATAAATTGAATGACATAAATTGACAAAATTTTATTTACAACTACTGAACAAAGTGCTTTCGAATGGGGCAGTCATTCGAGGTGTTTCTATCCCATCATGTCGACCGAACGTTGGAACGACGACATCGCCTATGTCTTCTCCATTGATAGAATATTCTCACGAATACACGGCATGTGGCCACTGCAAACGCAGACGCTATTCACGAGGACACGATGGGGCTTCTGTCTTATTGCGCTGGTACTTTATGCATGTCAGCTGAATGAAATATATATAAGAAAAGAGAATTGACATATGCAAAATAGTTTCAAGACTTTATTTATAATAGTGAAAAAATAGATTTCTTTTTTTACTAATTTTCATTTTAATTTCTATCTGCTATTTTATGCTTTATTATAAACTACAAAGTTGTTTCTTATTGTTATGCTTATCAATATTTACGCACACGTACATAAACTTTAAGTCAAAAATTATTATTTAGATTATAATAATACCCAATGTGATGTTGGATCACATCGAGCAATCAGAACGTAATACAGGCATAGAAAATCTACTATTTGGCGTGGGCGTGATGCTTGCAATCATGAATATCTGTGTATCGGTCTCAGTCAAAAAAAACTAAATATAAACATTAATGGTGCTATCGACGATTGGCTGTCTGTTAAGAATGACAAGGAAACTCGAAAGATTATGAAAAAATATGCTTATATAGCCAGAGTACTGACTTTTATGTTACTATATTCGATCGCTGGACGTTTTTCTGTTTACGCATTAGTAGTCCTATAAAAATCTGAAGCAGATATTCTTCACGGATTGCATTTATTAAGGGTATAAAAATTGTTTCTATATTTATCGGTATATTATTATTTTTCATTTGCTTAATTTCTTAAATTCAATTGTATATTGAGATGTTACATAAGCAACATTATTTTTATATTTTGTATTATCATGGTGTGCAGCTAATACACACAAATTGGATATTCTTGATTCCATGTGACCATTGAGTAAATCGATTACTGGTTCGCAATATGTTATAATCCTTGCCATTCAATTGTGCAAGGAGTTATAGGGTGTTCGGCGCTATTTATCGAAAGTAGTTTTTTCTTTAACGTCACCATGCCATCTCGCTGGTCAGCTCGAGGTGCTCAAAAACAAATTTCAGACATTCGCAAACAGCCAAACACAGAGGCAAATTATCGAAAAGAATTCATTGGCCTGATTAACAGGCACAGCAAGCTAATAGAATTTTTATCAAAATTTGGAAGACTCCTTCCATCTTTTATACTAATCGAACTCGTGACGGTGACGATTGTGCTTGCATTCATAGGTAATATATTGAAAAATTTTATTTTTTTTATGGCATGATTTATTTAAATGAAATATACTGCATAATGTAAATATAATTAATTAACTTATATAAAAATATATTATTTTAAACTAGATATATATTTATAATAAATACTTAAATATTATATATATATATATATATATATACTTTTTTTTATTTTATTTATAAAATTAATCGTACATGTCACATTAAATATATTTTGGTCGCGTATTCTATTTCTAAAACAAAGATTTACATTTAGGATACGTCTATAATTTTGCTGCCTAATGGAAAACAATTACATTGAAGTGGCGAAGAATGCTCTAGATGTAATCTTTTATTTATAGAAGCAATGATATTTACTTATGGTGTGATTTGTTGCAAAGGGAAAGTGAAGGTATATTTGATGCGATATACGCATCGTCTTGGAATACACTTCCTTAACGCTGATGAAGGACATTCACTTCGCAATGATGAAGTCAAGCATTCCGTTTCGGTTAACTGGTGGAAAATTTTTCTACGTTATCGCCAAACAATGATGAACATCCTCAAGACAACATAATTCTTATATTTCTGTTCTACGAGCAGCACTACTAACAAAATAATTTTGAATTCGAGTAAAAATGCGATGCGTACATCTCAATATGTGTCAGTTTGTGTGTGAACGTTTGTATGTATATGATAAGATTTAAAGTATTCAGAAAGCAATATTATATAAAAATTCATATTCATAAAGAATGCAAATATTTAATTAAAGTATTTTGAGACATACACTTCTCCATGCAGTAATTTAATATTTAAAATATTTAGTTGCATCAATAGTCTTATATCGATACGTATTTTGCTTATATTTATGTGATATTGGATCTTACATCAAGTAGAAAGTATTATATATATTTATTAAAATTATAAATTCATTAAATATTACAGCAATGTCAACCTTTTTACACACAGATGATTAATCAAAGTATTTTTTTAGTATTTTATTTGTTATAAAGTAATTTTTATTATACTTATATTTTTCTTCTTTTTATTTATTTATTATATGCGAAATTTTGGCTATACAAAACTGTTTAATATTTAATATCGTATGATAAAATAAAATATTGCTACTCTCCTTGCCAAATTCGTGTACAAATCTCAATAAAATTTTTTTTCGGCATCCGCAGAATCTCATCTCGTCGTCCATATTTTTTTTCGATTCCCATTCTCTTCGAAGTCCATCTCCTCTTGACAGGTGTGCATTTTGACACTTACTTGTCGCATCTTAAATATATATTTCATGTTATTTATATATAAAAAGATCTCAACTTTACGTAGCGTATGCAGCGTGTAGTACCGTCGATGAATGTTCGCTAATGTCGGAATTATTGAACTTGCCGAAAACGATTGTTGAATTCGACGGTCTGAATTCATAATTGGCGTCACACGAGTCACATTGCGTCCGTTCGCGATGTTTGACTTGGCGTCCTGCGCGGGCCTCGTCGGCGACCTCCTTCCGACCTTCTCTAAACATCTGTGGCCATCTGTTTTGACTGCGATTTGGAAGGCAATCGTCCCGACTTTCTTGAGCATTTCAAAAGTTTCCAGCGGCGTCTTGTCCAGCTTCACGCAAAACTGTATCGCAATAGCGTTGCTCTATCGTTCTCTCCATCACAAGTTCGCGCGACCACTAAGCAGAGGTTCACAGAATAAGCCGTCCTAACCCTCCAAGCGCATGAAACAATTGAGCGACCTACCGTTGGAAAGCTAAGGTACCCCCCTTCCTCCCACGCGGTCCACATCGCTCTGCGATGTATAGTCGCGTCACACAAAAAAATGCGACGCATTCACTTTCCTGAAAACCCTGTATCTCGCGAATTATACGGTTAGTGCTGTTGTACTGAAATCGATAGGGGCGAGAGATATCGATAATCGAATTATTTCGAACAAATCGAGATTTCGAGTTGACACAACAAGCAAGTGTCAAATGCACATCTGTTGAGGGAGAGAAATGGACTTCGAGAGTCCGTATGTCGAGAAAGAATTTCCCGGTTTGTACGCTTCCGAATCGGCGAGAAGAGCAATGAGAGCGATTGTACTTAACAAGGACATCATCGTTTATATCTACGTTTGACGTTTCATACAGTAGACACTGCGAAAGAGAGTTATGCATCTGTCAGGGTCACTTTAGTCGAATATTAATAGATTTGTACCTCTTTTTCTCTTCCATTTTTTTTGTTTTTCCTCCTTCTCTCACTGTCTCTCATATTAATTCTAAATATTATGATACCACAAGGTCATTAATATTTTTATAATGTAGTTAGTGATGAAGGCATCCACGACAAGCATTCCAAAAAGGAGCTCTGTCTAATTTTACATAAATTTCTGGCATTCCTGAAGGATGTGCTATTGATCATTCGCAAATCAGTTCACCGAGAGTGCAAGATTTCTCAAGAGGGATTAATTTTGAGGTAAGCATTGCTTTATAAAAAGATGTCTCAGTTGCGCACAATATAAATCAGACACTGCCAATCAAATTGCTTACTTAAGCAAGACTAGGATAGATTTAGCTAATCTAATTTAAAATTATTATTATTGTTAATATATATAAATTTCAGAAACATTCCCTTGACAGCGACATAATAATTACTCCTTCTTCAAGATTGTCAGTTAGCTCACTGATAGATAGTAGATTTATTAGAATTTTTAACCCCTGATGCTAGTGGAATGTCTGGCATTCCTGAAGGATGTGCTATTGATCATTCGCAATTCAGTTCACCGAGAGTGCAAGATTTCTCAAGAGGGATTAATTTTGAGGTAAGCATTGCTTTATAAAAAGATGTCTCAGTTGCGCACAATATAAATCAGACACTGCCAATCAAATTGCTTACTTAAGCAAGACTAAGATAGATTTAGCTAATCTAATTTAAAATTATTAATATTGTTAATATATATAAATTTCAGAAACATTCCCTTGACAGCGACATAATGATTACTCCTTCTTCAAGATTGTCAGTTAGCTCACTGATAGATAGTAGATTTATTAGAATTTTTAACCCCTGATGCTAGTGGAATGTCTGGCATTCCTGAAGGATGTGCTATTGATCATTCGCAAATCAGTTCACCGAGAGTGCAAGATTTTTCAAGAGGGATTAATTTTGAGGTAAGCATTGCTTTATAAAAAGATGTCTCAGTTGCGCACAATATAAATCAGACACTGCCAATCAAATTGCTTACTTAAGCAAGACTAAGATAGATTTAGCTAATCTAATTTAAAATTATTAATATTGTTAATATATATAAATTTCAGAAACATTCCCTTGACAGCGACATAATAATTACTCCTTTACTTATGGTGGTGATTTGTTGCAAAGGGAAAGTGAAGGTATATTTTATGCGATATACGCAACTTCCTGGTTTACGCTTCCTTTAACGCTGATGAAGGACATTCACTTCGCAATAATGAAGTCAAGCATTCCGTTTCGGTTAACTGGTGGAAAATTTTTCTACGTTAATCGCGAAACAATGATGAACATCCTCAAGACAACATATTCTTATATTTCTGTTCTACGTATAGCACTACTAACAAAATAATTTTGAATTCGAGTGAAAATGCGATGCGTACATTTCAATATGTGTCAGTTTGTGTGTGAATATGTTTGTATGTATATGATAAGATTTAAAGTATGCAGAAAGCAATATTATATAAAAATTCATATTCATAAAGAATGCAAATATTTAATTAAAGTATTTTGAGACATACACTTCTCCATGCAGTAATTTAAATATTTTAAAATTATTTAGTTGCATCAATAGTCTTATATCGATAACGTATTTTGCTTATATTTATGTGATATTGGATCTTACATCAAGTAGAAAGTATTATATATATTTATTAAAATTAATAAATTCATTAAAATATTACAGCAATGTCAACCTTTTACGCACAGATGATTAAATCAAAGTATTTTTTAGTATTTTATTTGTTATAAAGCAATTTTTATTATACTTATTATTTTTCTTCTTTTATTTATATTATTATATGCGAATTTTTGCTATACAAAACTGTTTAATATTTAATATCGTATGTATATAAAAATAAAATATTGCTATCTCTCCTTGCCAAAATTCGTGTACAAATCTCAATAAATTTTTTTTCGGCATCCGCAGACTCTCATCTCGTCGTCCATATTTTCTTTCGATGTCCATTCTCTCTCGAAGTCCATCTCCTCTTGACAGGTGTGCATTTGACACTTACTTGTCGCATCTTAAATATATGTTTCATGTTATTTTATATATAAAAAGATCTCAACTTTACGTAGCGTATGCAGCGTGTAGTATCTCGCGAATTTATAAACGGTTAGTGCTGTTGTACTGAATCGATAGGGGCGAGAGATATCGATAATCGAATTATTTCGAACAAATTCGAGATTTCGAGTTGACACAACAAGCAAGTGTCAAATGCACATCTGTTGAGGGAGAGAATGGACTTCGAGAGTCCGGATGTCGAGAAAGAATTTCCCGGTTTGTACGCTTCCGAATCGGCGAGAAAGAGCAATGAGAGCGATTGTACGTAACAAGACATCATCGTATTATATCTACGTTTGACGTTTCAGACAGTAGACACTGCGAAAGAGAGGTTATGCATCTATCAGGGTCCGTTTAGTCGGAAATATTATAGATTTGTACCTCTTTTCTCTTCCTTCCTCCTTCTCTCACTGTCTCTCATATTAATTCTAAATATTTATGATACCACAAGGTCATTAATAATTTTTATAATGTAGTTAGTGATGAAGGCATCCACGACAAGCATTCCAAAAAGGAGCTCTTGTCTAATTTTACATAATTTCTGGCATTCCTGAAGGATGTGCTATTGATCATTCGCAAATCAGTTCACCGAGAGTGCAAGATTTCTCAAGAGGGATTAATTTTGAGGTAAGCATTGCTTTATAAAAAGATGTCTCAGTTGCGCACAATATAAATCAGACACTGCCAATCAAATTGCTTACTTAAGCAAGACTAGGATAGATTTAGCTAATCTAATTTAAAATTATTATTATTGTTAATATATATAAATTTCAGAAACATTCCCTTGACAGCGACATAATAATTACTCCTTCTTCAAGATTGTCAGTTAGCTCACTGATAGATAGTAGATTTATTAGAATTTTTAACCCCTGATGCTAGTGGAATGTCTGGCATTCCTGAAGGATGTGCTATTGATCATTCGCAAATCAGTTCACCGAGAGTGCAAGATTTCTCAAGAGGGATTAATTTTGAGGTAAGCATTGCTTTATAAAAAGATGTCTCAGTTGCGCACAATATAAATCAGACACTGCCAATCAAATTGCTTACTTAAGCAAGACTAGGATAGATTTAGCTAATCTAATTTAAAATTATTATTATTGTTAATATATATAAATTTCAGAAACATTCCCTTGACAGCGACATAATAATTACTCCTTCTTCAAGATTGTCAGTTAGCTCACTGATAGATAGTAGATTTATTAGAATTTTTAACCCCTGATGCTAGTGGAATGTCTGGCATTCCTGAAGGATGTGCTATTGATCATTCGCAAATCAGTTCACCGAGAGTGCAAGATTTCTCAAGAGGGATTAATTTTGAGGTAAGCATTGCTTTATAAAAAGATGTCTCAGTTGCGCACAATATAAATCAGACACTGCCAATCAAATTGTTTACTTAAGCAAGACTAGGATAGATTTAGCTAATCTAATTTAAAATTATTAATATTGTAAATATATATAAATTTCAGAAACATTCCCTTGACAGCGACATAATAATTACTCCTTCTTCAAGATTGTCAGTTAGCTCACTGATAGATAGTAGATTTATTAGAATTTTTAACCCCTGATGCTAGTGGAATGTCTGGCATTCCTGAAGGATGTGCTATTGATCATTCGCAATTCAGTTCACCGAGAGTGCAAGATTTCTCAAGAGGGATTAATTTTGAGGTAAGCATTGCTTTATAAAAAGATGTCTCAGTTGCGCACAATATAAATCAGACACTGCCAATCAAATTGCTTACTTAAGCAAGACTAAGATAGATTTAGCTAATCTAATTTAAAATTATTATTATTGTTAATATATATAAATTTCAGAAACATTCCCTTGACAGCGACATAATAATTACTCCTTCTTCAAGATTGTCAGTTAGCTCACTGATAGATAGTAGATTTATTAGAATTTTTAACCCCTGATGCTAGTGGAATGTCTGGCATTCCTGAAGGATGTGCTATTGATCATTCGCAATTCAGTTCACCGAGAGTGCAAGATTTCTCAAGAGGGATTAATTTTGAGGTAAGCATTGCTTTATAAAAAGATGTCTCAGTTGCGCACAATATAAATCAGACACTGCCAATTAAATTGCTTACTTAAGCAAGACTAGGATAGATTTAGCTAATCTAATTTAAAATTATTATTATTGTTAATATATATAAATTTCAGAAACATTCCCTTGACAGCGACATAATAATTACTCCTTCTTCAAGATTGTCAGTTAGCTCACTGATAGATAGTAGATTTATTAGAATTTTTAACCCCTGATGCTAGTGGAATGTCTGGCATTCCTGAAGGATGTGCTATTGATCATTCGCAATTCAGTTCACCGAGAGTGCAAGATTTCTCAAGAGGGATTAATTTTGAGGTAAGCATTGCTTTATAAAAAGATGTCTCAGTTGCGCACAATATAAATCAGACACTGCCAATCAAATTGCTTACTTAAGCAAGACTAAGATAGATTTAGCTAATCTAATTTAAAATTATTATTATTGTTAATATATATAAATTTCAGAAACATTCCCTTGACAGCGACATAATAATTACTCCTTCTTCAAGATTGTCAGTTAGCTCACTGATAGATAGTAGATTTATTAGAATTTTTAACCCCTGATGCTAGTGGAATGTCTGGCATTCCTGAAGGATGTGCTATTGATCATTCGCAATTCAGTTCACCGAGAGTGCAAGATTTCTCAAGAGGGATTAATTTTGAGGTAAGCATTGCTTTATAAAAAGATGTCTCAGTTGCGCACAATATAAATCAGACACTGCCAATTAAATTGCTTACTTAAGCAAGACTAGGATAGATTTAGCTAATCTAATTTAAAATTATTATTATTGTTAATATATATAAATTTCAGAAACATTCCCTTGACAGCGACATAATAATTACTCCTTCTTCAAGATTGTCAGTTAGCTCACTGATAGATAGTAGATTTATTAGAATTTTTAACCCCTGATGCTAGTGGAATGTCTGGCATTCCTGAAGGATGTGCTATTGATCATTCGCAAATCAGTTCACCGAGAGTGCAAGATTTTTCAAGAGGGATTAATTTTGAGGTAAGCATTGCTTTATAAAAAGATGTCTCAGTTGCGCACAATATAAATCAGACACTGCCAATCAAATTGCTTACTTAAGCAAGACTAAGATAGATTTAGCTAATCTAATTTAAAATTATTAATATTGTTAATATATATAAATTTCAGAAACATTCCCTTGACAGCGACATAATAATTACTCCTTTACTTATGGTGGTGATTTGTTGCAAAGGGAAAGTGAAGGTATATTTTATGCGATATACGCAACTTCCTGGTTTACGCTTCCTTTAACGCTGATGAAGGACATTCACTTCGCAATAATGAAGTCAAGCATTCCGTTTCGGTTAACTGGTGGAAAATTTTTCTACGTTAATCGCGAAACAATGATGAACATCCTCAAGACAACATATTCTTATATTTCTGTTCTACGTATAGCACTACTAACAAAATAATTTTGAATTCGAGTGAAAATGCGATGCGTACATTTCAATATGTGTCAGTTTGTGTGTGAATATGTTTGTATGTATATGATAAGATTTAAAGTATGCAGAAAGCAATATTATATAAAAATTCATATTCATAAAGAATGCAAATATTTAATTAAAGTATTTTGAGACATACACTTCTCCATGCAGTAATTTAAATATTTTAAAATTATTTAGTTGCATCAATAGTCTTATATCGATAACGTATTTTGCTTATATTTATGTGATATTGGATCTTACATCAAGTAGAAAGTATTATATATATTTATTAAAATTAATAAATTCATTAAAATATTACAGCAATGTCAACCTTTTACGCACAGATGATTAAATCAAAGTATTTTTTTAGTATTTTATTTGTTATAAAGCAATTTTTATTATACTTATTATTTTTCTTCTTTTATTTATATATTATATGCGAATTTTTGCTATACAAAACTGTTTAATATTTAATATCGTATGTATATAAAAATAAAATATTGCTATCTCTCCTTGCCAAAATTCGTGTACAAATCTCAATAAAATTTTTTTTCGGCATCCGCAGACTCTCATCTCGTCGTCCATATTTTCTTTCGATGTCCATTCTCTCTCGAAGTCCATCTCCTCTTGACAGGTGTGCATTTGACACTTACTTGTCGCATCTTAAATATATGTTTCATGTTATTTTATATATAAAAAGATCTCAACTTTACGTAGCGTATGCAGCGTGTAGTATCTCGCGAATTTATAAACGGTTAGTGCTGTTGTACTGAATCGATAGGGGCGAGAGATATCGATAATCGAATTATTTCGAACAAATTCGAGATTTCGAGTTGACACAACAAGCAAGTGTCAAATGCACATCTGTTGAGGGAGAGAATGGACTTCGAGAGTCCGGATGTCGAGAAAGAATTTCCCGGTTTGTACGCTTCCGAATCGGCGAGAAAGAGCAATGAGAGCGATTGTACGTAACAAGACATCATCGTATTATATCTACGTTTGACGTTTCAGACAGTAGACACTGCGAAAGAGAGGTTATGCATCTATCAGGGTCCGTTTAGTCGGAAATATTATAGATTTGTACCTCTTTTTCTCTTCCTTCCTCCTTCTCTCACTGTCTCTCATATTAATTCTAAATATTTATGATACCACAAGGTCATTAATAATTTTTATAATGTAGTTAGTGATGAAGGCATCCACGACAAGCATTCCAAAAAGGAGCTCTTGTCTAATTTTACATAATTTCTGGCATTCCTGAAGGATGTGCTATTGATCATTCGCAAATCAGTTCACCGAGAGTGCAAGATTTCTCAAGAGGGATTAATTTTGAGGTAAGCATTGCTTTATAAAAAGATGTCTCAGTTGCGCACAATATAAATCAGACACTGCCAATCAAATTGCTTACTTAAGCAAGACTAGGATAGATTTAGCTAATCTAATTTAAAATTATTATTATTGTTAATATATATAAATTTCAGAAACATTCCCTTGACAGCGACATAATAATTACTCCTTCTTCAAGATTGTCAGTTAGCTCACTGATAGATAGTAGATTTATTAGAATTTTTAACCCCTGATGCTAGTGGAATGTCTGGCATTCCTGAAGGATGTGCTATTGATCATTCGCAAATCAGTTCACCGAGAGTGCAAGATTTCTCAAGAGGGATTAATTTTGAGGTAAGCATTGCTTTATAAAAAGATGTCTCAGTTGCGCACAATATAAATCAGACACTGCCAATCAAATTGCTTACTTAAGCAAGACTAGGATAGATTTAGCTAATCTAATTTAAAATTATTATTATTGTTAATATATATAAATTTCAGAAACATTCCCTTGACAGCGACATAATAATTACTCCTTCTTCAAGATTGTCAGTTAGCTCACTGATAGATAGTAGATTTATTAGAATTTTTAACCCCTGATGCTAGTGGAATGTCTGGCATTCCTGAAGGATGTGCTATTGATCATTCGCAAATCAGTTCACCGAGAGTGCAAGATTTCTCAAGAGGGATTAATTTTGAGGTAAGCATTGCTTTATAAAAAGATGTCTCAGTTGCGCACAATATAAATCAGACACTGCCAATCAAATTGCTTACTTAAGCAAGACTAGGATAGATTTAGCTAATCTAATTTAAAATTATTAATATTGTAAATATATATAAATTTCAGAAACATTCCCTTGACAGCGACATAATAATTACTCCTTCTTCAAGATTGTCAGTTAGCTCACTGATAGATAGTAGATTTATTAGAATTTTTAACCCCTGATGCTAGTGGAATGTCTGGCATTCCTGAAGGATGTGCTATTGATCATTCGCAATTCAGTTCACCGAGAGTGCAAGATTTCTCAAGAGGGATTAATTTTGAGGTAAGCATTGCTTTATAAAAAGATGTCTCAGTTGCGCACAATATAAATCAGACACTGCCAATCAAATTGCTTACTTAAGCAAGACTAAGATAGATTTAGCTAATCTAATTTAAAATTATTATTATTGTTAATATATATAAATTTCAGAAACATTCCCTTGACAGCGACATAATAATTACTCCTTCTTCAAGATTGTCAGTTAGCTCACTGATAGATAGTAGATTTATTAGAATTTTTAACCCCTGATGCTAGTGGAATGTCTGGCATTCCTGAAGGATGTGCTATTGATCATTCGCAATTCAGTTCACCGAGAGTGCAAGATTTCTCAAGAGGGATTAATTTTGAGGTAAGCATTGCTTTATAAAAAGATGTCTCAGTTGCGCACAATATAAATCAGACACTGCCAATTAAATTGCTTACTTAAGCAAGACTAGGATAGATTTAGCTAATCTAATTTAAAATTATTATTATTGTTAATATATATAAATTTCAGAAACATTCCCTTGACAGCGACATAATAATTACTCCTTCTTCAAGATTGTCAGTTAGCTCACTGATAGATAGTAGATTTATTAGAATTTTTAACCCCTGATGCTAGTGGAATGTCTGGCATTCCTGAAGGATGTGCTATTGATCATTCGCAATTCAGTTCACCGAGAGTGCAAGATTTCTCAAGAGGGATTAATTTTGAGGTAAGCATTGCTTTATAAAAAGATGTCTCAGTTGCGCACAATATAAATCAGACACTGCCAATCAAATTGCTTACTTAAGCAAGACTAAGATAGATTTAGCTAATCTAATTTAAAATTATTAATATTGTTAATATATATAAATTTCAGAAACATTCCCTTGACAGCGACATAATGATTACTCCTTCTTCAAGATTGTCAGTTAGCTCACTGATAGATAGTAGATTTATTAGAATTTTTAACCCCTGATGCTAGTGGAATGTCTGGCATTCCTGAAGGATGTGCTATTGATCATTCGCAAATCAGTTCACCGAGAGTGCAAGATTTTTCAAGAGGGATTAATTTTGAGGTAAGCATTGCTTTATAAAAAGATGTCTCAGTTGCGCACAATATAAATCAGACACTGCCAATCAAATTGCTTACTTAAGCAAGACTAAGATAGATTTAGCTAATCTAATTTAAAATTATTAATATTGTTAATATATATAAATTTCAGAAACATTCCCTTGACAGCGACATAATAATTACTCCTTTACTTATGGTGGTGATTTGTTGCAAAGGGAAAGTGAAGGTATATTTTATGCGATATACGCAACTTCCTGGTTTACGCTTCCTTTAACGCTGATGAAGGACATTCACTTCGCAATAATGAAGTCAAGCATTCCGTTTCGGTTAACTGGTGGAAAATTTTTCTACGTTAATCGCGAAACAATGATGAACATCCTCAAGACAACATATTCTTATATTTCTGTTCTACGAATAGCACTACTAACAAAATAATTTTGAATTCGAGTGAAAATGCGATGCGTACATTTCAATATGTGTCAGTTTGTGTGTGAATATGTTGTATGTATATGATAAGATTTAAAGTATGCAGAAAGCAATATTATATAAAAATTCATATTCATAAAGAATGCAAATATTTAATTAAAGTATTTTGAGACATACACTTCTCCATGCAGTAATTTAAATATTTTAAAATTATTTAGTTGCATCAATAGTCTTATATCGATAACGTATTTTGCTTATATTTATGTGATATTGGATCTTACATCAAGTAGAAAGTATTATATATATTTATTAAAATTAATAAATTCATTAAAATATTACAGCAATGTCAACCTTTTACGCACAGATGATTAAATCAAAGTATTTTTTTAGTATTTTATTTGTTATAAAGCAATTTTATTATACTTATTATTTCTTCTTTTATTTATTATTATTATATGCGAATTTTTGCTATACAAAACTGTTTAATATTTAATATCGTATGTATATAAAAATAAAATATTGCTATCTCTCCTTGCCAAAATTCGTGTACAAATCTCAATAAAATTTTTTTCGGCATCCGCAGACTCTCATCTCGTCGTCCATATTTTCTTTCGATGTCCATTCTCTCTCGAAGTCCATCTCCTCTTGACAGGTGTGCATTTGACACTTACTTGTCGCATCTTAAATATATGTTTCATGTTATTTTATATATAAAAAGATCTCAACTTTACGTAGCGTATGCAGCGTGTAGTATCTCGCGAATTTATAAACGGTTAGTGCTGTTGTACTGAATCGATAGGGGCGAGAGATATCGATAATCGAATTATTTCGAACAAATTCGAGATTTCGAGTTGACACAACAAGCAAGTGTCAAATGCACATCTGTTGAGGGAGAGAATGGACTTCGAGAGTCCGGATGTCGAGAAAGAATTTCCCGGTTTGTACGCTTCCGAATCGGCGAGAAAGAGCAATGAGAGCGATTGTACGTAACAAGACATCATCGTATTATATCTACGTTTGACGTTTCAGACAGTAGACACTGCGAAAGAGAGGTTATGCATCTATCAGGGTCCGTTTAGTCGGAAATATTATAGATTTGTACCTCTTTTTCTCTTCCTTCCTCCTTCTCTCACTGTCTCTCATATTAATTCTAAATATTTATGATACCACAAGGTCATAATAATTTTTTATAATGTAGTAGTGATGAAGGCATCCACGACAAGCATTCCAAAAAGGAGCTCTTGTCTAATTTTACATAATTTCTGGCATTCCTGAAGGATGTGCTATTGATCATTCGCAAATCAGTTCACCGAGAGTGCAAGATTTCTCAAGAGGGATTAATTTTGAGGTAAGCATTGCTTTATAAAAAGATGTCTCAGTTGCGCACAATATAAATCAGACACTGCCAATCAAATTGCTTACTTAAGCAAGACTAGGATAGATTTAGCTAATCTAATTTAAAATTATTATTATTGTTAATATATATAATTTCAGAAACATTCCCTTGACAGCGACATAATAATTACTCCTTCTTCAAGATTGTCAGTTAGCTCACTGATAGATAGTAGATTTATTAGAATTTTTAACCCCTGATGCTAGTGGATGTCTGGCATTCCTGAAGGATGTGCTATTGATCATTCGCAAATCAGTTCACCGAGAGTGCAAGATTTCTCAAGAGGGATTAATTTTGAGGTAAGCATTGCTTTATAAAAAGATGTCTCAGTTGCGCACAATATAAATCAGACACTGCCAATCAAATTGCTTACTTAAGCAAGACTAGGATAGATTTAGCTAATCTAATTTAAAATTATTATTATTGTTAATATATATAAATTTCAGAAACATTCCCTTGACAGCGACATAATAATTACTCCTTCTTCAAGATTGTCAGTTAGCTCACTGATAGATAGTAGATTTATTAGAATTTTTAACCCCTGATGCTAGTGGAATGTCTGGCATCCTGAAGGATGTGCTATTGATCATTCGCAAATCAGTTCACCGAGAGTGCAAGATTTCTCAAGAGGGATTAATTTTGAGGTAAGCATTGCTTTATAAAAAGATGTCTCAGTTGCGCACAATATAAATCAGACACTGCCAATCAAATTGTTACTTAAGCAAGACTAGGATAGATTTAGCTAATCTAATTTAAAATTATTAATATTGTAAATATATATAAATTTCAGAAACATTCCTTGACAGCGACATAATAATTACTCCTTCTTCAAGATTGTCAGTTAGCTCACTGATAGATAGTAGATTTATTAGAATTTTTAACCCCTGATGCTAGTGGAATGTCTGGCATTCCTGAAGGATGTGCTATTGATCATTCGCAATTCAGTTCACCGAGAGTGCAAGATTTCTCAAGAGGGATTAATTTTGAGGTAAGCATTGCTTTATAAAAAGATGTCTCAGTTGCGCACAATATAAATCAGACACTGCCAATCAAATTGCTTACTTAAGCAAGACTAGATAGATTTAGCTAATCTAATTTAAAATTATTATTATGTTAATATATATAAAATTCAGAAACATTCCCTTGACAGCGACATAATAATTACTCCTTCTTCAAGATTGTCAGTTAGCTCACTGATAGATAGTAGATTTATTAGAATTTAACCCCTGATGTAGTGGAATGTCTGGCATTTCTGAAGGATGTGCTATTGATCATTCGCAATTCAGTTCAACGAGAGTTGCAAGATTTCTCAGCGGGATTAATTTTGAGGTAAGCATTGCTTTATAAAAAGATGTCTCAGTTGCGCACAATATAAATCAGACACTGCCAATTAAATTGCTTACTTAAGCAGACTAGGATAGATTTAGCTAATCTAATTTAAAATTATTATTATTGTTAAATATATAAATTCAGAAACATTCCCTTGACAGCGACATAATAATTACTCTTCTTCAAGATTGTCAGTTAGCTCACTGATAGATAGAGATTTATTAGAATTTTAACCCCTGATTGCTAGTGGAATGTCTGGCATTCCTGAAGGATGTGCTATTGATCATCTCGGCAAATCAGTTCACCGAGAGTGCAGATTTTTCAAGAGGGATTAATTTTGAGGTAAGAGCATGCTTTATAAAAAGATGTCTCATTTGCGCACAATATAAATCAGACACTGCCATCAAATTGCTTACTTAAGCAAGACTAAGATAGTTTAGCTAATCTAATTTAAAATTATTAATATTGTTAAATATATAAATTTCAGAAACATTCCCTTGACAGCGATGCCATAATGATTACTCCTTCTTCAAGATTGTCAGTTCTTCACTGATAGATAGTAGATTTATTAGAATTTTCGCAATAATGAAGTCAAGCATTCCGTTTCGGT